CATATGTATCTAATAATTTTTAACTTGAATTGTTCAATAAACTTTGAGAGATTTGGGACTGAAAGGCAAAACACTAAATTTATGATGTAAATCTTTGTTAACCGATTTACAGGAGATTGGGGAATTTTGTAAGAGAAAAATTCTGAAACGGTTTAATATTGCACGTGATGACATGACAAACAAATTTTTCGAATTCCATTCAGAAACGACAATGAGAGTAGGATATTTACATGATTACATCATTAATTAAAATATGGGCTACAATTCGGCCGAATTATTATTTCTTTATTATTATTATTATTATTATTTTTTTAAAAAAAAAAAAAATAAGAAGGAAAATTCCACGCCGTATGAGTGACGAGTTCGAAGAAATCACACGATTTTTTGACAATATCGAGGGTTCTCGCGCATGAATATTCATCACATCAACCGAATCGGCGCACCCGCATTGATCGATCTACGCATTAACCATATAAAGAACCGACGGTCAGTCATTTTGAATCCCATAATTCTAAACTGTTTGAGAGGTTAACTTAAATATACAGCGTTGAGCCGAAGCTGTTTTCCCTTATCCTCTCTTGCCTATTGGCTAAGATCAAGTGTAGTATCTGTTCTTTTCAGTCTAATATCTGAAACGTTACACACTGTGTAACTTTGATATTAAACGAATTTTTAGAATTGGGAGTGGGGTCCCTGGGCTTGCCTATACCCTGTTCCGGAGTGTCCCTAGTATTGCAGTATCTCTAGGTGACGCTCACATTTTAGAATCACTAGCGGGTTTGGGATATGGGGAAAAAAAAAGGAAAGTGGGAGTTTTAAAGCTATTTGAGATCTTTCGTATTTTAATTTAAAATAATTAAAAATTTATATTTTTAAATTTTTAATGAAATGTACGTCAATTACGGTTAATAGAATTCCGAGTTTTATTTTATTTATTTTTTTTTTTTGTTGTTGCTCTCGAGTCTAACGCAAAAAGGCACGAGTCAATGATATTCGGAATAATAATGGTAAATTGGTGTCAAGACAGAAATCCCTCAGTATAACAATAATGGAGAATCCGCCAAATTTTTACATTGTCGATCTAACTTTAAAAGAATTTGTCTATTCCAAATTAAAAAGTTAGAATGAAATCCTTATTCTCGATCAAGTTTTTGTGCGAAAATTATAATTGATGATAAACGCGTTATCTCTTTATTTGAACCTTTTGTAAATTAAATTTTTTTTTTTTTTTTTTCAAAAAACGCGTGTAGTTTCAGTCGTAATCGTGGTTAGACTCTTTCTTTTTAAAAAAATAAAAAAAAATTTTATCTTTTTATTAATTAATTAAATATCTATCACTTGAAAATCAATTTAAAAATAATATAATACATGCGACAAAAAAAATTATTGTTGATTGCCATAAAGGGGTCCCGAAACACTATTTTTAACATAGAAAGAATAAAGGGACGATTAAATCGAGAAAACGTGGCTTGTCTAATTAAACAATTAATCGGGTGTTCCCTATTCAGGATAACAAGAATGAAATCTATGCACGTGATCCGTCGTTAAATGAGCGGGTGTTACAAATAGTATTTCGGGTAGAAATTTGAAAATCAAAAAAATCATTCGATATTCGGAAGCTCCGAAGCCATTTTAATATTCAAACGCGTGCGATTTCACACATGACGAGATATCCGGACAAGCAAATATTTTTTTTTTTCTTTCGGAAATATCTAAATTCGAATGTACTTTATGTTTATTTACAATAGAATATTCGAATGACAAAATAAGCGAGTTTTTCCGGAATAAATTCTTAGCAATTACAGAGGTCTTTTATCTTTAAGTGACTTGAATAGAATTACTGTACTGAAAATTCATCTTTTGATTGTCCAATCATTTCTCTTTCTTAATATGGAGTGCGAATCAAAATTTGCCAATTTCAAAAAAAAAAAAAAAAAAAAAAATTTTTTTTATTTTATTATGATTAAATTTTTGTGTTATATTATTATAACAAATGTAAAAAATAGGAAATGATCCCATTTAAAACTTGTATGAATATGAAAAAAAAAAAATCAAATGGAATAATGCATTAGAAGCCAATATTATGCAAATAAAATACAATTTTTTAATCTAACGGACACAATCAACTTTATGTAAAATGAACTTTGTGTAAATGCACGCCTCCATAAATACAGGCTTACGTGATTTACCCTTTCGATAGATACGCTCTTTAAATGCATTTTATGGAACGTTGACCGTACTTTTTCCGAGGGTAATTCCTTCTAAATCAATCTCATTATACACATAATAGAGATTGGAATTACATAATGGAACACACATTTTAATTTAGGATAATCTTATAAATCTATTTGCCATTTCATAATTTCCATTTCGGATGGATTGTTTACTTGATCATTGCTGTTTTTGGATTTATGAAAAAGATGAATCACTTCCCTTTATGCAATCATGTTTTACTGTTTACTCATTTTGCTTTTGTAATGAAAAATATTATTTGCATCATCCCTTCTTTATTGAAGTACGATGCCTTATTAAGCAACAACTTTACAAATTTATCAAAATAAAAGATAACTTCAACCCCCCAATTTCGAATTCGAATTGTATCATGTGACTTTGACCGAGACAATATTAAATTAATAAATGCTAATATGCTAATACTTAATTTAAAAATGATTCACTCGTACCTCTCCTTTAGGGTCATAAATTACAATAATGTTTATTCACGATACAGCTAAATCATAATTAATAAATCATTTAATAATAATTTAAGAATCTCTCATAATTAATTAATTAATCGCACCCCTAACCCTCTCGCAACTTCAAAAGACGTCTCGGTTAACTTGTACTTTCCGGTAATCTCCAAAGACTTCAATTTACCTCCTTGATTCACGCATCCTTCCAAAAATTCTTTCAGCGTTTCGACGCTTATCGACGTATCTTTTAATTGAATTTTTTGCACGCTATTGGGAACAAGTTTACCAATCGGTCCCAATTCCCCATCTAATTCGGTGCTAAAATATATCAATTCTTTACATGATTTGAAAATGGAAATTAATTCAAAAGAAAATAGTTTTGGGAGTTCTAAATGATTTAGAGAACCTAAATAAAGCGGAATTTGATTGATTGATTGATAACCTTGATCATAGTCTCTTTTATAACCTAACACTAACTTTTTTAATTTAGTTGAAGAGGATTGAAAGATCGCATTTAATAAATCTACAGCGACGTATAATTGAGGATATGTTACCGCCTTGTACTCAAAAACTTCAAGATTTGTTAAGCTTTTCGCCCATGACTGTATTTTGGTACCGAGGAACCTACATTTATATATTCTCAACCTTTTAAGATTTTTAAGTGAATATAGGGAATTCAAGGCTTCCTCATCAATATGTTCAAAGGATAAATAAGTAAATTCCAATTTTTCTAGCCTTTCCTTGTGTGTGGATAAGGAATTAAACACGACGTTATACCATCCGAATACTTGGTCATTGCCGATCCTCGGAAACCCAACTATCACATCTTCTTCCGATAATATGATGTTTTTTAACTTTCCTTGTGAAGAAATTAATAAGGACAACGCTTTCGCTTGTTCAAGAGATGTAATTTTATTGTTATGAATCAATTCGAGGTTTACATTCGATTGGGAAAGAGTGGTGTAGAGTTGCGTTAATTTAGGGTTGTCTCTTAATTTTAATTCGGCTCCGGCGTTTCCAGGACTCGTACAATATAATTTTTTTAATCCACTTAACTTCCTTTCCATCGAACCGGATGTTAACATTTCTATGGGATCAAAAATCGACTTTTTATTATCCTGGATATAAGGGTTGATCTCCAAGATGATTATCCTATTACAACGCTCACACAAATATTTCACAAGATAATTAATTATTGAACAACAAAACACTTCTTGCGTCGTATTTGCGTGCATGTAGGATGGCATCCAAATGTTTTTATGGGCAAATGTAGAATAAGCCATAAACAGTTTGGCATCAAGATGTAACTCTCGAATATATCCAACATAATCAAATATAGCCTTTGGAGGATAAAAATTTGGTTCGTTGAACGAATTTTTTGCATCGATGGGAAAAACTATTGTCGTTATATCCGATAGTGGGATACATGTTAATAAAGTTCTAAGCAATTTATAATAATCTTGAACGTCCTTCTTCACCGGTAGAATTTTCTTATTATTTAAGTGACGAAAATTCCGAAACGGATAATAATACAAGAGTGGTGTTGCGATTTTACACCAGTATCGCGAAACTAATGTGCAAGAATATAAATCTGCTACCTTATATGCGTTGGTGGAAGTGGAAAATGTATCATGCGAGGGTTTACGCAATTTCAAAAAAATTTTTTCTAAGCATTCTGGAGGTAAAAGTTGCGTCATAGTTTTTTTTTTTTTTAATAAAATTGGTACTAAAAATGAACTGAACTTGGAATAATTTTTTTTTCATGATATATATATATAAAATTACTGCGCCGACGGAGATAACCGTCCACGTATTTCACTTGTAGGTATTGATAATTTCTAAATACGTTAATCTTTACTCTCATTTCATGAAAGATTTGGATTTTTTTTTACAAAATAAATTAATTTATCGGGATCCAGGTTCTTTACCAGTTATTCCTTTCTCTTTTTTACATTTTATTTCTAAATTAAGGCTATGATCATTTTTGTCAGATAGGTCTTACTAAAAGTATTTTAGATCATGGAATAATTTTGTTCAATACATTAAATTTTATGCAAGATGTGAATATTGTACGACACGAGAAGAAAAATATTGATATAAATAGAAACTATTTCAAACTGTGCCTCTTTTTTCTCACGTACTTTTGATAGAATTTTGTTTCCAAGTTCCTTTTTTTTTTTTTCGTCATCCCCCTTCTTTTTTGTCGATGATTTTTTGACTTTTTTTTTTTTTGATTTCTTTTCCAAAGTTTTTTTTTTTTTATCGATTTCGATTTCCATTTTTTTTTTTTTTTTTTTTTGGAAAAAAAAAATGTCATACATAAAAGTTCCACATGATCAAAAATCACCAACCAAATCTAATGCATCTTCTATTAGTCAACATCGTAATAACCAACCCATTTATCATCAATCAATAACACAACTTCTCGAATCTTCAAGGAAATCTCATTATGAAGAGAAGAAACCTACGATATTTTCTCTTAATGCATCATGTGAATTATCTTGGTCACATTTGGTGCACGCCGAGATCATTGCGGTTACGAGTGCAATGAGAAAGAATTCAAGGTGGTCTGGTATGAGCGTTAGTGGCTTGAATATGGGTGGGTTGGGTATAAGTATGGGTTTAAGAGGTGGTAGAAGTTCAGTTAATGAAAATGATTATAGAAATCAGATTAATGTAATAATTTTTTTTTTTTCATTTGATCTTATCATACAAATGCTACAATTAATTAAAACTTATGCCTTTTTAGGAAACCCCGTTAATGAGTGGATTTACCTCACTCAGAGTACAACTCTTCAACATGTCTGGTATTTAATTTTATTATTATTTTTTTTTTTTTAAAGTAACATAATATAAATAATTAGAAAAAATTTATTAAAATGATTGATCAATCCTTTTTTAGAGGAATCGGGGATAGATGCTGTGACTTTGCTGGATCCGTTTCTAGATGTGATTAAATCAGGAGATACCAATGGACCAATAACAGCAGCTGCACTTGGAAGTGTGGAAAAATTTTTAACTTATGGCATATTAAATATGAATTCGGCAAATTTACCAGTAGCAATGTCGATGCTTTCTTCAGCCGCCACACATTGCAAATTTGAAGCAAGCGATTCTGTATCTGATGAATATGTGCTATTAAAAATTTTACAGGTCTTGAGGTTGACCTTGACTTGTGAAGTTGGTAAAGTTCTTAGCGATGAAGCTCTCTGCGAGATGATGGAAACTGGCCTGAGCATGTGCTGTCAAATGAGATTGAGTGGTAAGCGTTATTATTATGTAAACTCTTTTTTTTTTTTTTTTTTTTTTTTTTTTTTTTGATTGATTGATTGATTGATTGATTGGTTCATTCATTGATCACAAATTATTATTATTACCTTTAAGAAATGTTGCGCAGATCAGCTGAACATACAATGGTCGTTATGGTGCAAACTATGTTTGAGAGGTAGAGATGTCTTGTGTAATATATCTACTTACTTTTGAATTTGGAACATGATAATAACATTTCGATATTGAAATGATAGACTTAAATCGCTAGAGGAGGAACATGCAACAGGTTATTTACAGGAAGAAGGAGTTGGAGAAAATGGTACTTTACAGGATACTACACAAGTGCGCATGGCTCCACCCGATCCAAAATCTCCTCGTCTTCCCCTTTCTTCAGAATATGATGTTACTGAAATACCAAATCTTTTAGCTAGTGCAATTACATTATCACCTTCCGTGAAACATGATGATAAGGATTTTGATACATTGGATGATGGACAGGATGAAATGGTTGAATTAGATGAAAAGGGTGAAGAAGTTATTAATAACAATAATAATTTGATTCAGGAAAAAGAAAAAGGTAGTTTTAAATTTAAGGAATCATGGTGCAAATTTATGTTGTGGAATATGTAAATATAGTATTAATGTTTATTATGGGATTTGATTATCCAAGCCCAAGAGCAAGAAAATGAAACTTCTAATGAGGACGAAAAAGACGCAGGTTTGTCAATGTGATTTTTCTTTTTACCATTTTTTTTTTTTTTTTTTTTTTTTTTTTAAAAAAAAAAAAAGGTTATGTTAAAGGTTTATTAATATTTACAGATCCAAAACCATTCGGATTACCTTCAATAAGAGAATTACTGAGAGTCCTTATCTCATTGCTTAATCCACATGATCATCAACATACTGATACGATGCGACTTATGGCTCTTAGTATATTAAATGTTGCATTTGAAGTTGGCGGTCGTACTATAGGACGATTTGAAACTTTACGTAATCTTGCCGTTGATGAATTGTGCAGGTTTCTATTCCAGGTAAACCAAAAATCTTTTTGTTTTTTTAAAAAAAAAATAATAATTAATGAGATATGTGTATAAGCCTAATATTTAATCCTTTCCATTTTTGAGCTTGCGCGAACCGATAACATGACATTATTATCACTTGCACTCCGTGTCATATCAACTGTATTTGGAACGCTCCGTCCATATCTAAAATTACAACAAGAACTTTATTTGTCATTCTTAATTGAAAGGTTAACACCACCTGCAAGTAGTTTAAGGCCTCTTGGAAATAATAGCGGAGATTCGCCACATAGATCAGGATCTTCAACACCTAGTATGGTTCGTGAACGTAATTTACGTGCAACGACTGAAACCTCTGTTGCCACGGGTGAAGTAAGGGAGCTTTTATTGGAATCTTTAGGTCAATTTGCAAGAGATCCGTCATTTATGGTTGATTTATGGGTGAATTATGACTGTAATATTGACTGTGGAGATCTGTTTGAGGATATTGTTAAATTTTTGAGTAAGGTATATGAGACGAAAAAAGATGATCTTTTTAGTTATTTACTCTTTTTTTTTTTCATGGAGTAATTTCATATTTTTTTTCTTCCCTCTTATCAGAATTCATTTCCCGATTCTACCGGATATTCTATAAGCAATTCTCATGTTGTGTGTTTGGATTCTCTTTTGATGTATATAAATCATATGGTTGATAGATTACAGACAGAGGTATTTGATTTATTAAAATTTTTTGATAATCTTTTTAATTAGAATGTTTATTAAGAAGAGATTTATTTTAATAGAAGGATAAAAATAAATCATGCACATGTGAATTAGCTTGGGATCAAATGACGGCTGCAGATTATAATTCTGGATTAAAACCTGTGGTATATATTTATATGAGAATGGATTAGAAAATTTCAATATCGATTGTGGTTAAAAAAGTCCTGACTGTATTTGATTAAATTTACATAATATTAGACGTATCCGTCCGCAGAAGAACTTTTGCAAAGAAAACAAAAAAAACAAATATTAAGAGAAGGAGCCGCAAAATTTAATGAAAATCCAAAATCTGGGCTTGAGTTTCTTGAAGGTAGGGTGAAATTTCAGAAATAATAATCCCATGAAATACAAGCTTTTATTAATAACTTTTAAAATTACTATATGTAGCAAATGGTCTTATTTATAATGATCCTGATCCTTCTATTGACAAAAATACAAGTCTTGCCTCATTTTTGAAATCTACTCCTAGGTTGAATAAACAATTGTTAGGTGATTATTTGTCAAAGCCTGCAAATATTGATATATTGAAAGCTTTCGTTAGATTATTTGATTTTGAAGGAGTAAGTCAAATGAAATATCATAATTAATTTTTTCTTACATGGATAAATGTTTACTAACCATTTAATTAAATCAGAAAAGAGTTGATGAGGCATTAAGAGAAATGTTGGAGTCTTTTAGATTACCCGGAGAAGCACAGCAGATTGAAAGGATCATGGAAACGTTCTCAGTAACTTATTTTGAAACTGGGCCAAGTAAGGAGACAATACCGAAGTTTTGAATGCCTCATTTGTTATCTCTTTTTTTTTTTTTTTTTTTACAAAATTATAATAAATTTCTTTTCCCCTTTTTTAGCCGAAATAGAAACTCAAACAGCCACCTTTGTTTTGGCATACTCTATTATTATGTTAAACACTGATTTGCATAATCCTCAAGTTCGTGTAAGTACATATTTGGTTATTTAAATACTACAAAAGTTAAGGATGTATTTATTTATTTAAAAAAAATCATTTAGCGTCGAATGACGATTGAGGACTATATGAAAAATTTACGGAAAGTTAATAATGATAAAGACTTTGCTCCTGAATATTTGGTTAGTATCGTGAATATGGTTTAATTTTTGTTTTTGTTTTTTATTTTATTTTATTTTTTTTTTTTAAAAAAAAACAAAAATGCCGTTCTTTATATTTTGCTTTAAAAATATTTAGCATGCTATCTATGATGCTATCAGAAAAAGGGAAATTATCATGCCCGAAGAACATGAAGGACAGCTTGGGTTTAATTATGCATGGAAAGAACTTTTAAGGAGAGCCGAAAGCGCTGGTAATAAAAAATATTTTTTGAACTTTCGAGTTAATATTAATTGTTAAAATATTTTTAATCTATTTATTTCCTTGTAATTTAGGACCATTAATAATATGTGATGTATCTTTGTATGATAAAGATATGTTTACTACAGCATGGAAACCTGCAGTTGCTGCTATTTCATATGGTAAATTTTTTTTTTTGTTATTATTTTCCTTTAAGAGGGTAATTCATCATTACTAAATTTCTAATTTATTATAAAAATAGCATTCAGTACAGCGCCAGATGATATAACATTGCAAAAAGCAATAACAGGATTTCATCAATGTGCATTATTATCAGCAACGTATAAATTATATGAAGTATTTGATTATATTATAATGTCATTAGCTAAAATGACTGGATTATTAGGACCAAAATACAGTAATGAAACAGCCAATAATCCAATCGTTAAAATACAAAATACCGAATTAACTGTTAGTGATTTAGCAATTCAATTCGGTAGAAATTATAGGGGAAAAATAGCAGCCGTTGTATTATTCGCTGTTGCTAATGAACATGGGAATATATTAAGAGAAGGATGGAAATATGTAAGCATTTAAATGATTATTATTATTATTATTACCATTATTATTATTTTAAAATTAAGTAATATTATTTTGTAGTTATTAGAAATTATAAAGAATTTATTTGTGAATTCTTTATTACCAAGTAGTATGTTAAAAGTTGAAGATTTCTTGGCGGGTACAACAACAATACCATTAAAACCAAAATCAGCATCAGCAAGACAAGAACGAAGAAGTGATGGATCATTATTATCGGCATTATCATTATATTTATTATCACCTTATGCCGGTAATTATGAATCTTCTAGAAGTGATCCAACGGAGGAAGAAATCGAAAATAGCATGTGTACTGCTGACTGTGTTAAAGTTTGTAGATTAGAAGAACTTTTTGCTGATATAAGGTAATCAATTTATTCACAAGATTTTTCCTGTATTGTAATAGCGTTAAATCATTTAATTTTTGATCTATATTTTGTAGATTGTTGGAACAGGAATCACTTGTACACTTAATGAAAGCACTAAAGTTTATTGCAGATGGAAATACCGCGACAAAAGTTGGGGATACAAAATTATCGTATCAATATTCCCCGTCACCAATTCTAGGTGCAAGCAATGGTAATATAATCAATCAAAATCATTTGTCACATGGTAGTTACGATCCGGCCACTGTATTTTTCCTGGAATTAATGATTAACGTAACATTACAGAATCGTGACAGGATTCATTATTTATGGTAAGCAGATTGAAATTTTATAGTGAATTTTTTTTTTTTAAAAAAAAAAAATTATTTCAATTGTAAAAAATTTTTTGATTTTTACAATAGGCCTATTTTATTTGAACATATTACTGGAATTTTAAGAGAATCTCAAAATAATAGTATATTGTTGGTTGAAAGGACCGTTGTGGCGTTATTGAGATTATGTATCAGATTAACTCATAAAGTAATAGAAAGTAATGTAATTGTGATTTTAAGATGTTTGAATAAAAACCAATACTGATTTTTTTTTTTTTTTTTTAAAAAAAAAAAAAGGACGAAATGGTGAATGATATCTTACAAGCATTAGAATTGTTAGGAGCGTTACCTGAAGAGGTGATAAATTCAGTTGGAGAGCAAATGATGGCTGGTATACTAAATTTAATAAAGTCAGATGCCTCATACATTAGGTAAAGCAATTATACTTTTAAAATCTGGTATACATACTGTTCTCGTAAATTATTCACTAAATTCATATCTCGTGATATAGAGGGAAGAAACCATGGACGAACGTATTTATTTTATTTAAAGCAACAGTAACACACCCACAGGCGTCAAGATATTCATTTGAAGCGATAGCAACAATAATTAAAGAAAATAAGTGTATTAACAGAGACAACTTTAATGAATGTGTTGAATTATTAACAGAGTTTGCTTCGGGAGCTACCACATTAATGGAACAAGAACGTTCTGAACATCCATCATCTCAAATTCGGAATTCTAGAGCGAGAATAAATAATATTCAAGATGCTATTGTAAAAAGAGCACGTAAATCTGTTGAATTATTACATCAGTTGTATAGAGAGATCCCTAGATTATTAAGGGAATCCGATATTTCACCAAAAGAAGGTGAATATAGTTTTTAAATTACTATAAACTTTTTTAAAAACGATTTTACTTTTTCATACGTTTTTAATCTCGTATTTTCTTTCTTTTTCCCTTTGGAAATAACCTAGCATTGACATCTTATTGGCTACCAATATTAACAGGATTAAGTCAACAATGTTATAGTCCATATAGAGAAGTAAGGCAATATGCATTATCGTATTTACAAAGATCATTATTAGATCCAGAATTAGTATCACATGGAGTAACGGAATGGGTATTGATATTTGATGTAGTATTATTTCCATTACTTGATCAATTACTTAAACCTGATATATGCAGAGGATTTGACAGTATGGGTATGGATGAAATTCGAATGAGAGCTTCGGGGTTACTATGTAAAATATTTTTACATTATTTAAATAGATTAATAGAATGGGGTGGGTTAATCAGTTTATGGAGACAAATTTTGGATGTTATGGAAAGATATATGACTACTGGCGATAATGATTCCTTGGTAAGTATTGCTTATTTGGACCTTTTTCTTGTTTGCACACTTTGTTAAATGATTTGTTCTTTTAATAATTTAGAGGGAAGCCGTACCGGAATCGTTGAAAAATATGTTATTGGTGATGTCAACGTCAGGAATATTTAATCGACCAGGAACAACACCACCAACTACGAATACCAATTCTAAACCACCAGTTGAATTATGGGATATTACATGGGAAAAGGTTGATAAATTTTTACCTCACCTAAGAGATGAATTATTTCCTCCACCACCACCACCAAAATCTCCACCAAAATCCTCTTCAACGAAAAGATTATCGACAAATAGTTTAGGTGGTGATAATGGAATTGTTGTTGGTGTTGAGCAAACCACCGCTAATATTATACAAAGTGAACATGGTGTAGAAACTACCAAAACATCATCAGAAAACATTAACAACGATCAAATTATTAAAGAGAATAGCAATAATGAGAGTAAGGATGACGTGAATAATGAAACGATAAATATTATTACTGTGTAAAAAAAAAGAAAAAAAAAAAAATTGATTAGTAAAACATTCGGATATAGAGCGATTAGTGGGTAGAAAATTTATTCACAAATTATATAAGGTAATTGTAAAAAAAAAAAAAAAAATAATAATAATAATTTATAGAAGAAATTTTTGGTCAAGAAAAAAAGAACAAATTAATAATTAACAGATATATATAAAAGGTTTAATAATGAATTTTTGTGTCATTAATTAATTTAATTTATTTTATTTTTAAAATTAAATAAATCGTAAAATTATATTTAAAAGAGTTACTTTTTATATTACAATTCAGCTTGACATTGATTGTTTGTAATTTTTATGATAGAATTTTCAATTATTTGCGACTTATTCATTATATCAAATTTCGGTAAGTGTATAACAATTCTATAAAGATTTGGATCATGACTTGTAATAATTTGAAAATTAATATTTCTTTGAATAAAATAACTAGAAATTTCGTCACCAAACAATTCTAATATATCAAAACCATTTTCTTTGAATTTATATGCTAATGATTGTATTCTTTGTATCCGAGGTAGAACTGTATACTTTTTTGAAATTGTTGAATCAAGAGTAATTGTATTGGTATTATCTTGAGATTGTAAGAATGTAAGTTCAATCTGATTTTTGAAATTACTACGAGATTCGAATATAACTTGATGTAACATTTGTATAAATAAATTAAGATTTTTCGTAGCCTCGTCGACAATGTCTACATCACGCCTTTCAATGATTTCTTGATTCTCATTCACGATGGGTAAAGTATAAGGGATTTTAAAAAAATTTAATTCCCTTATAATTTGTTCATGAGAAGGTTCAAATGGATTATTTTTAATTGGCCAAAAAATTTTTTTATAACGATAATATTGTAAGATGTATTTAAAACATGTCCAATCCCTATCAAAGAAATATTCGATTGAAGGTTTATCAAGTTTTTTAGTTTTGGTTTTTTGCGTCATCGTTGATGAGGTCGATGTCGTCGTCGTCGTATCTTGATAAAACATTTTACCTAAAAGGGTGTTTGGACATGATGCTAATGTTTTTCGATACGTCATAAACTAATGATAGAAAGAAAGAAAAAAAAATTTAAATTTAAAAAAAAAAAAAATGGGGGGGGGGGGAGAAAAAAAGGTTTTGAAATAAGATCAAAGTGAACTTACTGGCATACCACCAATATTTAACACGATCTTTTCGGATTCATTCATCCTTTTTAATTGATCTATGACACAAAAGCCCAACAAATTTTCAAAACCTTTAGCGGATGGATTGAAATTTTGTTTTACTTGTTGTATATGATATATCATTGAAATCGTTCTTAACAATTTTGAAGTTTTCATATTTGATTTTAGAGACATTGTATTTCGAGATGAGAAAAAAAATTTTTTTTTTTTTTTTTAAAAAAAAACCACGATGGGATGGAATTATTTATAATATTATGTAATCAACTGTTAAAAATATTTCATGTGATATAATTTTTTATTTTGGATATGATTTGATAAAATAAACTTCATTTGATAAATTTATTCACTTTCTAAAAAAAAAAAGATATAGCATATGTAATGATTACTTTTTTTTTTTTTATTACAATACTATTAATAAAATGTTATGAAGGTATAAAGTTGTATCAAGCATCCAGGTAATCGGATCCGTTAGGGTAATATTGAACAATGTTCGATGTACCTTTTAACAAGAATGCGGGCTTCATCAAAGCACAAAGATTCTTTAATATCTCTCAACCTATCTGCAGTACAACTTCCTTTAAAGTCAAATCGTCACTGCTCGTATTTTTTTTTTGTATCTGACATTCCACCAACTGCTTAAATCAGAATTCTCTTGGTGTCAGTTTCTGATCAAGAATGATGTTCTTAGCACAACGTCAAAAAATATATCAGGATTGTTGGTTTCCGTAATTGCTTGGATAAAATCGGATGAACGTGCAGTTTCTCGGTTACCTTCTTGTCGGAAACACATATACACAAAAATTGAGTGAGCTATAAGTCATGAAATTTTGTATCTGCTATTCATGAAAATAATTCCATATTGTACGACAACGAGCATTAGAAAAAAATTAACACAATATCGTTTACATAAACCGTCCTTCCGAACATCTTGTAAATGGAACATATCATTCCATTGAGGTTCATTTTGTACTTATTACAAAGAATATTTGTCAAATCCTTAATATTTTATTAAATTTTCACATATTGGCCCTCTTAAAAATCGATCACTTTCTCAGTTCGTGAATTATGTTTATATGTGAATTTTTATGACGAATTAAATTTTCCAAAAAATTTTGCTTTCAAAGTTTGGTTTGTAAGTGTAATAAAGTTTCGTTACAACTTCGAAATTTGGTATAAATCAAGCCAACCTTAAATAACGATGTATTACTAATTCTTCCTGAATAATGAACATTTTAGAGCTGTGATGTCATCTGTGGACATGGGACAATGAATTTATTGAGGAAGAGTTATTTAATAAGGATTCCAATTAATATACAATCGAAGATCACAAAATGAGCTATAATAAAATACATTACTTCTTAAAATTAGATTATCATTATTCTTATAAAATATAAAACTATCTTTGATTTTAACTATAAGCAGATTTTTATATTAAAGAATTCTATTCTCCAAGAGTTTATTCTGTTTCTTTTACTTTAACAAATATAACTATTTAAGATATATTATTATAAATATATAAAAAGCCTTAGATATAAAGCAAGCTTTATTTTCTTTTATTAATAATTTGAATTTTACAATAAATATAAATTTTTATATAATCAAATTTTCTTTAGTTTGAAAATCGTAAACATTCATTTTAGTATTATCTTTCTTTTAGTTAAAAATTTTTTACTTGCTCTATACCAGCTCAAAATGGCCTATTACTTTTGTAGAAGTATTTTACCATCTTGCCTTGCTACCTGTCAAGTCATACTCCTTCATCCATAAAAATTTACGTTAAGAAATTCAAAATCTCAGCTGTTTTAATCCTTATTTTTAAGGTTATATACAAATTCTGCTTCTAATAAAGTTGAAAAATGAAAGTCCATTTTCTTCAATATAAAAAAGAAGTATTTAGTATAAGTCATGCAAAACAAATTATATAATATCAACTGAAAAGAACAAATATTTGAAATGGAAAAACTTTTGTTAAATGGCGGTATTCTCTTCCTAGTAGAAAACAGAATTTTTGTTTGGTGGATATATCGATTTAATGAATGATATATCAATGAAATTATGGAAAATAGTACTTGATTACAGTCGATAGTGTTAGATGATGAGTATGTTTCTCAACTTAAGATATTGTTAACGTGCAATTCTATTAAATTGTAACTGTTAGATGGAGTGCTTAAATGGTGATTCTTTTAAAATTTATGTAATAATCTAATATAGTTTAACTTAAGCTTTATGATTTACACGATAGTGTAATTTTAATAATACTAAAAGTAAGATAACTCAATTGATTCAGGGTTATAACAGTTTATTATGATAAGAAAAAGAAATAAAGAAAAGAAATAAAAAAATAAGAAAGAAATTAAAAAAAACTAAAAGAACTAAAAGTACTAGATACAAAAATTAGACTAGATACTTCAAAAATGCTACTAAAGGTATATCTAAAGGTAAAAATTAAAAGGAAACTAAAAGTTAAACTAAAGTTTACATGATTTTATCATTCTTTATTTATATTAAATTTAATACATAAATAGATATAACAAATAAGTCAAATATGTCTAATATATTAAATATATCTAATATGTCCTATTTAACTAATATATCAATTATGTCTGATTTATCAAATATATCCTATATGTCAAATATATTTGATATGGTTGACATTTAGATCTGCAATTTTTTGCGCTATGTTTATTAATCTAATCTGATTACAATATAAAGCGCTTTAAGGTAGTTTTTCAGTCAAATAAAAATCATGCATATTACCTTGTTATTTGCAAAGAATATAGTACTGATAAAATAATATTAGTTAGAATAATAGCAAATGAAGTTAAAAAAGGTATTATATATATTAATTTCTCTAAAAATTTTAATAAGCTAGGTGATGAGTTTAAAAAAGCACTTAATTTAACTTTTGAAAAAGATGCTTCACTTACAATACAACTTTTATGAAAAGTTTTTGAATAGAATAAGAGTGATGAATTTAAAAATTTTATTCTAAGTAGAAAGAGCTATAGATGTCATTAAATATGTCTCTAAAATATATAAATCAAATAATGAAGGCAGACTACCAATTATTGTCTATGATAATGCTAACCAATTAATTAATCAGAATCTAAAAATTCTTAATATTCTTTAAGATAGCGTTAAAATAAATACTAATGATAGAAAGTATATTGTTGTATTTATTAGCAGTAAAGGTTCAGTTCTCCAAAAAATTCAGTATAAGTATTAAAAAGGTTTTTTTCAATTCTTTTCTTTATAGGCATATTTTTTGTTAATCGATATTCTTATTTCTAGTGTGAGATACTTGATCACATATAGATAAACTAATCAAAATTGAGAACTTCACCAAAGAAGAATTATTGGACTATTTGATCAATAAATATGAAATCAAAACTGTAAGGGAAGACAAAATCGATACTACTAAATCTGAAAGATTATATAAGCTAGTTGGTGAACACATTGTTAATTTGAAATCTGTGACAGATAAATTTCTTAAAGAACAGGATTTTGAAGGTATATATTGTTTGACACTTTACATTAAATAAATTTAGTAACTTTACTTTGATCACTTCTAACTTTATTTCTGTAGATATTAAAAAGCAACTTTTTACAAAAATTAAGGATAAGTTTAGAATCACAAAACTTCTTGAAAACTATGAATATTATGAAATAGGAAAGCATATCATTAAAGCTTTGTTAAATTTAAAAAAACTTAGTTATATTTATATAAAAAAAATTTTAAAAAGCTTAAGGAAGTTAATAAAGTCTTAAAGTCTAATATTTTTGCTTATCACCTTAAAAAAAATACTATAACCTTTTAATCTAAATCAGTAGAATGCTATATTTAAAAAAAATGCTAATATATTTCTTAAATAGTAGAATTTATGATTTTACAAATATATAGAATTAGCATAAGTTTATCAAATAATATTATGTATATACTAGTAACTTTTTAAATATTAACAATGCAAATAATTAAAAATTAAAGCTAAACTAAAGCAAACTTTATAAATGATATATACATAATTACATTATTTATGAAGGATTTTAGCATTACCTAAATCATGTGATTAATTGTGAATAAAAATAGTCCCTATAATTATTTTCAAATTTTAATTGAGTTGCACTTAATTACTCTATAAGAAAATTTAATTGCGTCACAAGTTGCAACTCAATTGCGCTATTTTTTTTAATTGTAATAACCATCTTTAATTGTAAAGATATTACAAAAAAATAAATATACAGCGCATATATTTTTTTAAAAACAAGTTATTTATTATATTTTTCGTATAGTATAAGGTTTAATATCTGTAAGTATAGCAAACAGAAAAGATTTAAGATATACTTTAATAAAAAAAGTAAAGTAAATAAAAGAGGACTTGGTGAATGAAAAATAGCAATAAATTGAAGTAATACATAGAAAAGGCCAGCCAGTTAATTAAATGTAAAAATAATGAAAAAGTAGGATTTTAAGGAAGGAAGGAATATTGCAGAGTCCTAACTCATATAATAGCAGTTCTATCCTTACTACTCTATATTATTATCTTCAGATCTTGCTTTAACTCCTTTTCATTTTTTGTTATTACTATTATTTATTTATCTTTCTCAATAAGAATTGAGCTGTTTACATTCTTTTTTGCACTTATAATCAGTTCATCCTCATCCTTACCAACTATTTACCTTGATAGTTAAGCAGTAATTAACGAATTTAATAATTTCATCTTAATAGAAAATGCAATTATCAGAATATGTGAAAAGATATTTAATTATACAATATAAGTACTAATTTCCTATATCATTAAAGAACTCAAACTAATAATCAATTTAATTAAAGTTAAAGGATATTCAAAAGACTTTTATAATGATAAAGTAGATAATCTGATAAAAAAAGGCTGCTTAAAACTACTATTTATATTAAATTATATTATTTTTTGATAACCTTCAATTACATCTAAATTTCATGAGCATTCCAATAAATTTTTCTCTAGAAAATTTTGAAATAAAATTAATGCTGCATCACAATTTTCATCATTTCTTGATTTAAATAGAAATAACTAATTAAAGCAATTTACAAGAGCTTCTTCTATAAATTAACACACTTCTTTCTTAGTCTTCTCAACAAATAATAATAATATAATAGCTGTTACTTTTTTACTTAATGTAATAAAAAGGCTTTC